TTGATGTGCGCCTCAGTAGTGCAGTAGGTGGTATGATGCCCTAACTTCTCAAGGGAAAAAAGAAATTCAAGTTATCAATAATTTACCCAGGCCAATGGCCAGTCAGTAGTAAAGTTAGGACTTGAACTCAAAGCTTTTTGGGGTGGGAAAACTGGAACATTGAGGGGAAAAATTATTTCATTTACTGTTAACTCTTGTCTGATTTCAAAATTACTATAGGTAAAAATGTCAGTTTTATAAACTTGGAGGATTTAGAAAATGTAAGTCATTTCTACCAAGCCCCTATCAATGTATAGTCACATCACTAGCTTGGTATATTCTTCCACATTTTAAAAGATATTTGCTAATATTTATATTTATTCTTGTAACAAATGCAGTATTATACATACAGTCTATCTTTTTTCTTTTTTTTTTCTTTGAGGTGTTCTTCCGGGGGTTGAACTCAGGAGCACTTGGCCACTGAGCCACATCCCCAAGGCCTGTTTTTTGTATTTTATTTAGAGACAGAATTAGAATGAAACACTGAGTTGTTTAGTGCCTCGCTTTTTGCTGAGACTGACTTTGAACTCGCGATCCTCCTGTCTCATCCTCCAGAGCCGTTGGGATTACAGGCATGTGCCACCGTGCCAGGCATACATTTTTCTTTTTTAAAAGTTATTATAACTGGGTGCAGTGGCACACATCTGTAATCCCAGCAACTCAGAAGTTTGAGGCAGGAGAATCACAATTTTGAGACCAACCTCAGTGGCTTAGTGAGACCCTAAGCAACTTAATGAGACCTTGTCTCAAAATAAAAAGGGCCAGGAATAGCTTCAGCAACTTAGCAAGGCCCAAAGGACTTAGCAAGACTGTCTCAAAATAAAACATAACCACCCAGCTCAGTAGTTAAGCGACCCTGGGTTCAATTCCCAGTACCAAAACAAAAATCTAGAAAGTGGTTTAGATGGCATATAGCTATAACACAGCTCCTTGGGAGGTTGAGGCAGGAGGATCACAAGTTCACGGCTAGCCTCATTAACTTAGCAAGACCCTGTCTCAAAATGTTAAAATGTCAAAATAAATGGACTGGGGATTTAGCTCAGTGGTAAAGTGTCCCTAGGGTCACTTGCCATGCGTGCTTTACCACTGAGTTATATCCCTATCCCCCCTCCTTTTAAAAAAAAATTATAAAAGTAATACTGATGTGCTGGGTGTGGTGGTATACGCCTATAATCCCAGCAGCTAGGGAGTCTGAGGCAGAATGATCGAGAGTTCAAAGCCAGCCTCAGCAATGGCAAGGTGCTAAGCAACTCAGTGAGACCCTGTCTCTAAATAAAATACAAGATAGGGCTGGGGATGAGGCTCAGTGGTTGAGTGCCCTGGGTTCAATCCCCAGTACCAAAAAAGAAAAAAAGAGTAATTCTTGTTGATTATAATACTTTCAAACAGAATAGCAAGGGCTAGGGTTATGGCTCAGTGGTGGAGTGCTAGCCTAGTACCTGGGAGGCACTGGGTTAGATTTTCAGCACCACATAAAAAGTAAATAAAATAAAGGTATTGTATCCATCTACAACTTAAAAAAAAAAAAGACTAGGAATATAAAAATGCAAAATTTTTTAGTCTTCATAATACCAAAAATAACTGTTGATAGTTTAGGGTGTGCCTTCTAGTCATCCTCAAGTATACTTGTGTGTTTATATATACACACACACCCATTTATAAACTTTGTTTTTACACAAGTAAGTTCATAAACACACTTTTCTGCAGCCTGATCCTTTAAAAAACATTTATTTTGTTATGGAAAAAATATAAATACAAAAATAGACTAATTTAAGTCCCTATTCATCATCTAGCTCCAACAACCAACTTCTTTGTTTTTCTTTCATCTTTTTTTTCCCACTTTCATTTTCCCCCTAAAATATTTTTTAAACTTTATTTTATTTATTTGTTTGTATGTGGTTCTGAGGATTGAATCCCGTTCCTCACCTGTGCTAGGTGAGTGCTCTATCACTGAGTTACAACCCAAGTCCCTCCCCCTAAAATATTTTAAAGTAAATACCAAACATCAGTGTTTCATAAATACTTCAGAATGTATCTCTAGGAATTGAGAATTTTTTTTGAAAAGTTACATAATATTATAGTCATACCCAACAAAATTAGCAATCATTCTGTCAAGGAAAAAAAAATTGAACAAATGGAATAGCATTTGTTTGAGACACTGAAAATGGAATCAGGAGGTCATTATTCATCAGATCTCAAATACTTCTGCAGCGGCAAATACACCCACCTCCAAATTGAGTTTACCTTTGAAACATACAGTGAACTCCTTTCCCCAGACTACCCAGAGGTTAAGATTACACATAATCCCCTTCTAATTAAATAGCTTGACTTATGCCAGCATCAATCATAATTCCTGACTAATAATGTAATTTCCAATTCCCTTGTAGTTTAAAGCTATAAATATAGCTGCTATTTTGTAAAACCTTTGAGCATATTTTCAGGACTGCTTAAATCTGTTTTCTTAGATTGTAATCCTCATTAGCCCCAAATAAATGTCTTTTCTTTATTGTCAACTAGGTTGATTTTATTGTCAGTCATTTTACAAGTATAATTTAATAGTTGGTTTGTTTGAATCTGGTTCCAGTGAGGGCCACACACTGCAAGTGGTCTGGTATATCTCATATCTCAATTTGTTAACTCTGCTCCCCACCTATATTATTTAACTTTTGAAGAGCTTGGGCTACTTAGCCTGTAGGAAGTTCCACATTTCTGGATTTGGCTGAATATATTCTCCAGAATTGTTTAATACATGCATCCTTATTTTCCATAAATGGGTACAATAATTCATTTTTGTGGCTTCGTTTGTGTTTTGTTTTTGTTTTTAATGTAGATGGACACAATACCTTTGTTTGGTTTATTTAGTTTTTTGTTGTTGTTGTTGTTGTTGTTTTGTTTTGTTTTTAATGTGGTGTTAGGGATCGAACCCAGTGCCTCATACTTGCTAGGCAAGTGCTCTACCACTGAACCGTAACCCTAGCCCTATAGTTTGTGTTTTAAGGCAAAAATGCTTCCTTGTTGATGCTGTGTATTTCCTACTGCATCATGTTAGGAGGCTGTTGTTAAAATTGGTGAACCTGACTGTACTTCATCTGTTTACAGTTCTTAATTTTAAAAGATAAAATTTTTGAATAAGGAAACACAGGCTAGGGATATAGCTCAGTGCTAGAGGGCTTGCCACCCATGCATGAGGCCCTGGTTTCCATCCCCAGCACCTCAAACACACAAAACAAAAAGGAACATACATCGGTCAAGTACTCAGGGTTTTTGAGCTGGAATGATTAGAAAAGAAGGCTATAGCCTTAGAATTCTAAGAGAGCAGATGTATATGTAGAAGGAGAAGGTTTCTTGGTCATAGAAAAGGTTTTGGAACTGAGGCCAACAAGGCACTGGTACTGTCAGCAGCCAACCGTTCTTCTGGGACTTCATGTTAAATGATGTAACTGAGTGAAAAAGTGGCGGTGAGTCGGCTTCCTCTCCCTGTTCAAATCACTGAGCTGCTGTCTTATTGAGAGATGCTCATGAGCCTGCTCTGTGAAGACTCAGTGGAAGGCTTCTTGATCTGAGAAGACTGCAGCTTTTTGATCCTTATCTTCTTGTATTTTGGAAGCTAAAATCAGGGTGGTCCCTTGGTGCTACATTGGTGAGTCCTAGACGTGTGGAGGAGCCGTCTGCTTTGGAGAAAGTAAGTGAAATGATCCAGAGTGGCAGTCTAAGAGCTAGAAACAGTATTTAGAAGACCATGTAGTCCAGTGCCTCATTTTATAGTGAGAAGAGTATGGCCAGAAAAGGGGAAGGGAGATTCTCAAAACCACTAGCAAACTGGAGGTTTTGCTGAGGCCAGCATCCAAGCCTTCAGTTCTCTGACTATGGTAGTCAGCCCACATTTTCTGCTTACAATTTTTGAGATGATGAGGATAGCCAGATCTGGCTCCTGACAGATTCTTCTGGATATCCCTTAATGTTTCATCATCCTTGCTTTCCTGCTGAGTTCTTTGACTTGGAAGTGGTAGTCAACAGTGGTCTGTTTCTAATGGCCAGCTTGCTCTATGGTGGTACAGTGATCTGAATACAAACAGGGTATCATGAATCCCAGTCTCAGCTCCACAGTAGTCAGGCTGCATTTTCCTGAAGAGAGTGGATCAGATCAAGATTACCCAGAATGGGGCTGGGGTTGTGGCTCAGCAGTAAAGAGCTTACCTAGCACATGTAAGGTGTTGGGTTCCATCTCAGCACCACATAAAAATAAATAAATAAATGTTAAGAAAAAATTACCCAGAGTATATCATGAGTGTGACTTTAGGTGATGAGGGTAAAAATTTTTCTTCATTATATTTGTAATTATCTTTTTCATTTCCAGTAATACTGATTTTCCATTAACAGCAGTGACATAAACTTCCTCTTTAAATATATTGAGGCCAAAATGTTGGTAGATTTAGAAAAAACAAGGCAGATGATACCCCAGCATGACAAAAGGAATGAAAAAGATTGCATTGTAAGAAATCGTCATCTGGTCCCTCCTAGCTTCCTAATCTTTCAGTTACAGGAATTCCTTTATATAAATTCTAGCATATACCAGTCATAATCCTAAGCAGATTCCTCTCTCCTAGACAATATATAGAATCTGTCCAAAGTTAGAGGACAGCTTGAAGGTTCATTTTAATTGAGCATGTATTTATCATTTGGGTTGATTATTATAGGAGAATATGGAGACAAGTGAGATAGCTCCAATGGTGAACCATCTGGAGGCTACTCTGTATTTTTGCCGTTTGTGAATTTGTGAAGTATATTCTGGGCCATGTTCAAGGGCACTGCTCCATAGCTGTGATTCCTGATACCTTTAGGGAAATCTGCTCAGGGGTTCAGCGTAATCAGCTTCTAGAACTGAGAGAAGATGGGGTATTGGCATGGAATGTGGGCAAAGTGGGCTACAGAAATTGGTAATTGGTTTTTCTGCCTTTCAGGATTTTCCGGGAGAGAATCTTCATTCAAAGCTTTGCTGACCACCGAAGATGGCAAACAAGGGGCCCTCACCTTCTACATCCCCTGAGAACTCCAGTGCAGGCGGACCCAGTGGGAGCAGCAATGGTGCTGGTGAGAGTGGAGGGCAGGACAGTACATTTGAGTGCAACATATGCCTGGACACAGCCAAGGACGCTGTCATCAGCCTGTGTGGCCATCTCTTCTGGTTAGTACCCCCACTGCCATCCAAACACTGCCAAGTTTGGAAAGACTATGGCTCTGGGCAACTTTGGAAAGATGGTTTCTCACCCACTTTGGGTCCTGAGACACTCAGACTCAAGGATTCGTAGACCTGCGTTTCTGTCCCAGCTCTGTTCCTTATGAGTTCAGTGACCTTGGGCAAATCCTATCTCCATCCTAGGCTGCTGCTCCTTACCTCTTCAGTAATGATGTCATTTAGTGAGCACTTACTACCTGCCACTTGTGCAGAGCCTAGAGGCAGCAGAGTATAGTGGTTATGAGCAAGGACCAGGGAGCCAGACTGCCTCTTCTGAATCTTGATCCTACCACTTCTTACCAGATGATCTGGGACGAAGTGCTTACATGCACTCTGCCTCATTTTATAGGGTTGTTCACAAATATGCAGCAAATACTACGTGTTAGCCATGACCATAATTGTTACTATATTTTATGTGTGTGTACATACATAACAATATAAAGTGGCAAGGTCAGTGTCCGTTCCAGCCTCAATGGTTACAGAAGTACCTGCTGGCTCTGAGAATCTGGGTGAATGTTGAGTTTTGTTTTATTCTCTTGAGATTTGAGCTGAACATTGAGGGGTAATAATGGCAGGAAAGGTGAAAGATATGTGCTAACCTAAGCTCGGCCATTTCTAGGGACAGGCATGTGCAGTATTGGGTTCATCTGAGACCCTGAGGCTCCTTCTATACTTCTCAAAGCACCCTGGATGAGGAAACAAGGGGTTGTAGAGAGTTCAGCCAAATTATCAAACCCAGATTTGTTTAAGAGGATATAGAGTTAATGAATACTTTTGAGCAGGAAAATGGTGTGAAGAAAGGGTTATTTAAGCAGTATTTTAGAGGAGGTTAAATTGGCACCTGTGTAAAAGATAAATTTATTGATTTATTAATAGAATGGGGCAGAGATTTTTGTTCTCAAGTCTCTCACCCTAATCATAGTTTTACATAGAAATAGTTGTAAGTAATCAGCCTTATCCTAGAAGTTGGAAATACTTCAGAGTACCATAAAACCACATTTAAAATGAGTGACAGAATTAAGGTCAGATACCGTTGGAAAGAACATAGATTCTAAAAGGACGTTAGGCTTCCAGACTGGGTGGTATATGTTTTGGAAAATCCGCTATCTTCTCTGTGCTTTAGATTCTACATCTGTAAAATGGAAATAATTATACCCCCTGGTAGGTTAACATAATCACCCAGTACCATTAACAAATAAAAAGCTATTTGGCCACAGTCGTTGCTTAACAAATAAGAGGACTCCCCATCATTATAATCCTGAACTTTCCTCTGAGGGTCATTCATTCACCTCTACTTCTGGACAGCCTTTGAGAGAACTGCTAGTGAAGATCTGCCATGATCTTTAGGGTGCCTTGCATTTGGATCAGATCAGAATGGCATCCCAAGGTTAATGTTGAAGTCAGATGTGAGGTTTCTGTTATGTCTAGAAAGATTGTAGATCTAGTTTTGAAGCTAAATTGGTTCCAGAATTGGGAAAGGAGCTATCCTCTGAGTCCAAGTTTTACTTAGCTAGAAAAGATACATGATGTGCAAGGACATCCACATTTTCCACTGTCCTGACACACAGTAGGTAAACAATAGATTAAAAAAAAAAAAAATTGGGGGGAGGCTGGGGATATAGCTCATTGGTAGAGTACTTGCCTTGCGTGTTCAAGGCCCTGGGTTCTAATCCCCAGCACCACCAAAAAAAAAAAATCTATGTGCTTGCTTCGGCAGCACATATACGAAAATTGGAACAAAACAGAGAAGATTAGCATGGCCCCTGTGCAAGGATGACACGCAAATTCGTGAAGCATATGGATTTTATTTGGTGTCAACATACCTTATATATCAGAGATATGATAAATTATGATATAATGGTATATTAAGAATTATAATGCAAAAATAAATAAATAAATAAATATTAACAAAAAAAAATTTTTTTGTAGTGGTAGACGGGCAGAATGCTTTTATTTTATTTGTTCATTTTTATGTGGTGCTGAGGATTGAACCCAGTGACTCACACATGCTAGGCAAGTGCTCTGCCACTGAGCTACAGCCCCAGCCCAACAGTAGATATTTGTTGATCTATTTAATCAATGAGGGGGAGAGAGAAAAGAAGTATTAAGAATCTGGAGTTGAATGATTTTTTCCTTTAATTCTATAGATATAATTTTTTTGTATGCAGTGTTGGGTGTTAAAAGGGCAGTGAAGTATAAGTCAGGAAACTTGGTTTTCACTCCTGGTACAAGTAATTGCTTCTTTGTGAGTCTTGGCTTTTTTTCTCCTTTGAAAAATGAGACATTCTAAAGCTAGCCCATTCTGCCATGTAGCCTCCCTGTCCTTTCCATTCCTTAAATGTTTTTAGAATGTTTTTATGAATTTTTAAGCTACTTCCTGTCCTTTTTATTTTGTCCTCTCAAAGTGAGGACAGCCTAAAGATTTTGTTAAACTAGGCGTGAATTATCTCTTGTGAGCCTGAAATTAGGTGTAAAATAGTATGTGTATGCACTCACACTTGCATGTACTTCATAAGAATGCTCCCATGAATTTTTCTGCAGAGAATGCTTAGCTTTTATTGGATTCCTTCAGATGCTATAACCTTTTGAAGGCTAACTTTCAGAGAAGTTGGGTCTGGGTGGTCTGGGCCCTGCAGGTGTGCAAGTGTAGTGGGATCCTAGTTGTGAAGCCTGAGATCTTGTCTTCACTATTTTGTTTTTCCTGTGATTTTTATCCCAGTCTTTTTCTAGTTTCTGATGCCAATGATTCCTGCAGAACCTCAGTGGGGACACAATGCCCCCGCTTCCCCCATTTTTCCCATTCTGATGTTCCTACCTTGTTCATCAAATGTTTCTGCTAATAAAAGCATTTTTCTTCCTTTTCCCCTTTCTAACCTTCTCCTTGATGGCTGGTTGCCCTGGGGACTCTGGCAGTTGGCCATGTTTACATCAGGTAAGATGCATTTCATTTTACTCTTGTCTTTCATCAGCTATGGTTGCACAAGACAGCCCTTGTCTCAGGAGACTGCTGTCAGAATCTGCAATCTCCCTTGCTTCTGGGCTCATTTGCATGCTTACCCCCCAACCCTTTTTACACACCTGCCCACTGACAGGCACTTGACGAAATAAGGAGTTATTGTGATACCCAAAATGGTCCTGATTTTGCTACTAGTGGCCATTGTAGCTTTAGCCAGTTACCACCTCTCTGGATCTCAATTCCTCATTTGTGAATTGGGCTAGATTTGATAATACGTTGGGTCCTTTTTATTTTTTAGATTCTCCATCTATAAAAAGTACTTCCTACCTTTAAAGTTCTTTTTTATTTTTCTATTTTTATTTTTATGTGGTGCTAAGGATCAAACCCAGTGACTCAAGTATGTGAGGCAAGCACTTTGCTGTTGAGCCACAACCTTTGCCCTAAAGTTCTTGAAAATGTTAAGAAGGGGTAAATTTTATTTTGGTAGCAACAAAGAGCTTTTGTAAAGGAAGAAAGTCTGTTTTCCCAGTTTTCACTCATTGTGAAGACCAGTTAGTATTCACCGAGACCCAGATACCATCTTGGTGAGACAGAGCTGGGCCTGATATTCACAATTGCCTGTGAATAATTACTGCCAGCTGACTGTCTCCATGGTTGTTGGTAGTAGAACACCACACTTGTAGGTGACCACACTCATAGGTGACTTAGGAATGTGAGGAGAGGATAAGTTTCAGATTGCTAGAGCCTGACTCTTTTTTTTTAAGTTGTAAATGGACACAATGATTTTATTTTATTATTTTTTTAATGTGGTGCTGAGGATTGAAGCCAGTGCCTCACATGTTCTAGGCGAGCACTCTCCCACTGAGCCACAACCCCAGCCTGAGCCTCAGACTCTTGATGGGAGAAAGAAGAGGGACTTAGGGCTGAGCACTCTAACCATAATGGATCCTCATAGAACATGTTGGCTGTGAGCTTATAACGAGCACATAAGTTTTGGAGCCATTGACAGATTGACAAAGTAGGATATAAAAATCATTAAGTGCTGCCAATTCTATATTCCTGAGCCCTAGATACACATTTATAATATAACTTCATATCATTGGATCTAAACATGCAATTATTTATGTTCTGAAATAAATGTTTAAGGGCTGGGAGTATAATTTAGTGGTAGGATGTGTGCTTAGCTTGTGCAGGGTCTTGGGTTTGATCCCTAGCATCAAAAATAAAACTTGAGAAAAAATATGTATGAAATTATCTAATGTCTATAAAGATACTACAGTGTCTTTTCTTAATCATTTTTTGTGTATGTTTTTTTTTGTTGTTGTTGTTGTTTTGTTTGCCACTAAACTATATACCCAGCCCTTTTTAATTTTTTATTTTCAAGACAGGGCTTCATTAAGTTGCTGAGGCTGATCTTGAATTTGCAATCTTCCTGCCTCAGCATCCCATATTGCTTGGAATTACAGGCATGCGCCATAGGCGTGTGCTATCTTGCTAGCTTGTTTGTTCATTTTTAAGAAAATTAAACAAAATGTCTTTAACCAATGAAAGGGCCTGGGAAACCCCAAACAGGGTGTTGTGGGGTTTTTGTTGTTGTTGTTTTTTATATATACATATATATTTTAGTTGTAGGTGAACATATATCTTTATTTTATTTTTATGTGGTGCTGAGGAACCCAGTGCCTCACTCATGCTAGGTGAGCGCTCTACCACTGAGCCACACCCCAGCCCCTTGTATTGACATTGAAATAATTGAATGCAAAAGTTACTGACAGTTTATAAAAAATCAAATTTAGATAATGAACTAAATATATTCTTTAACACATGGTAAATCACCAGAAAATGATCTGCTTATGTTCAGGTGCTGATGTTTAGGACACACAGTTGTTGGGGAAATGAGGTAAAAAATAAGAAATCACAGAAAGAAAAATATCACTTACATAAGGATAATATACTTGACCCTTTGGGGAAAGTGGAAACTAATTTCTTTATTTTTGTGGTACTGGGAATCAAACCAGGGCCACCACACACATGCTAGGCAAGCATTCTACCACTGAGCTATGTTCCCAGCCTGGAAAATGGAAAGTTCATTATACCCACATCAGTAGTCTAACCTAAGATTGGGTATGGCAGACCCCTTGGCAGCTTGAGGCTTGCAGCTCCTCCTTGCTGTATTGCTAGCAACCCCGAGAGAGAGAGAGAAAGTATGAAGAAGCTGACTTTAATTATTATGGCATTTAAAGGCAATTTCAATTTTGCCACTAGTAAATATTTATTGAGTACTAGGTACAGGAATCAGAGTCAGGGTTCTCAGGGTATTACTGATTTTGTTGGTGTTTCCCATTTGAGGCCTCTGGCCCATGTTCTCCTACTGCTTCTAATCATTCTGTGGTGGGCCTTCAACCATTCATGCATTTTTTTTGTCCTGCTTGCAGTGGCTGGAGACCAGACCTAATAGACAGGTGTGTCCAGTTTGCAAAGCTGGTATCAGCCGAGACAAGGTCATCCCTCTCTATGGCAGGGGCAGCACTGGGCAGCAGGATCCCAGGTGAGGACTTGAATGTCTCTCATACCCACTTCATCCCTTGGATATTAATTTACTTCCATTCAGCACCCCCAAACCCCACCCTTTACTTAGTGCTTGATGATCACTTGGTTCTGAGGCAGTCTGATCCAAATGAGAGTCAGCCAGTTATAGTGAGGGAGTGGCCACTTACTGGACTATAATAGATAACCACTGAGTGTCATTTACCCAGTAGGCAGTATGCTGGGCCTGGGGACCCAGGAGTGCACAAGACACCACAATTGCAAGTGTGCAAAGTGCTGTGAAAGAGCACTCCCTTCAGCCTGCGAGACAGGCTGTGTATATAGCAGGAGAGTCTCAAATTGCTCAGCAATGATGTATGTATAAAGTGTGGAGGGAGGGGGAATAAGCAGTCTGGGTGACTTTGTGGAGTTCAGAATTTCTAGAAATGGAGATGTGGGTGACTGCAGCATTCTACAAGTACTGAAAGCCCTTCATGGTTTGTTACCTCCAACCTTTCCTAAAATGTCACTTACCTTCTCCCATCCCATTCCATCCCAACATACCCAGTACACCAAACATACTGGACCTTTCCTAAAGGAGCCTACCCTTTCACATTCATTAGCCTTTGTGTTTGAGTTCTGCTCTGCCTCTTCTCAAATCAGCACTCCACTCCTACCTCTTTCTCTAATGTCTACCCATCTTTTATGAGCAGCTTGAAAGTCACTTCCTTCTTGAAGTGGTCATTTTTCCCCACATGAGTTGTTCTCATCATTCTCTGGTAATCCTTCTCACACTGCATTATGATTTGATGAATCCCCTTTGAAATTGTCATTACCTCAAGAATAAGATCTGTCAGTCTTATTATTCTATCTAGGGCCTCATATGTAACAAGTCCTCAGTCAGGCATTTCTAAATGATCAGAGGGGTGAGACTGAGAGGCCTAAAGAATAGCATGGGGTCTTTACCCAAGAGTAATGAGAGGTAAAGCTAAAGTCAATAAGGACAGTGCAGAGAGACCTTGAATCTCAGTACTCTCAGCTGTTAAATTTCAGTTTGGCTTTGGGATTTTTGATATCTATGAGCCCAGTATCTTATAGGTCCAGGGAAGACGATGACTATCATCAATAACCAGTATGGGTCAGGATCTCTGTAAGAGGAATAGCCTGTAGTGCAGTCTAATGAATATCTTTTGAGAGGAATAATTATAGGTAAAATAAAGAGTTCGCATTTAGTTTATCCTACGTAGTTTATGTATGGGCAGGAAAGATGGCTGTGGCCCTGACCCTCTTGGCTTCCAGTTCTCATAGTGAGCAACTCAAATCGTGTTGTAATAGACTTATTTTATACCGTTTCTTTTTCAGAGAGAAGACTCCTCCTCGTCCTCAAGGCCAGAGGCCAGAGCCGGAGAATAGAGGGGTAAGGAACATTCAAGGAGAAGCTTCTAGAAAGCCCATGGCTTTAGAAATTTCCCTATTGACCCTACATTTTTTTCCCCTTGATTATAAAAGTAAAGGAAAACTTGTAGAATACAGAATGGAGAAAGGGGGAAAATAATCAAATCATCCAGAAATAACAGCTGGAAATGTGGTCTTTTTCCTTTTCCATTTTTCTTCTTTTAACAAGGCGAAAGGGTTATTGTGCATGTGTTTTTCTTTTTCTTTCTTTCTTTTTGTTTTTGGTACTGGGGATTGAGCCCAGGAGAACTTTACCACGGAGCTACATCCCCAGTCCTTTTTACTTATATTTATTTTTATTTGAAGACAGGGTCTCATTAAATTGCTGATAGTTCCACTAAGTTTCTGAAGCTTTCCTTGAAGTTTTGATCGTCCTGCTTCAGTTTCTCAAGTAGGCATGTGCCACTATACCCTGCTTGTGGCTGTATTTCTATAATTCTATAAACACATAAATTTTATTCATTGTGTTTACATTGATCTATTTTATAATATGAATCCTTTGTTACTCCTTTAAACTTCTTAGGGCTGGGATTGTGGCTTGGTGTCAGAGCACTTGCCTCACACATATGAGGCCCTGGGTTTGATCCTCAGCACCACATAAAAATAAGTAAATAAAATAAAGGTATTGTGTCCAGGAAAAAAAATCTATTTATTCTACAAATAGTAAGTGACTTATGTGTTCCGGGTGATTTATCAATGAACATAGCAAAGACACCTGTTGTTGTGTAGTTCATAACATTTGAAATTAAAGACTTTCAACAGTATAACTTAAGATTTTACTGAAGATACTTTCCCATTAATACTTGACATAATGGCTATTTAGTATCCAGTTGTGTGGACCCAACATAATTTATGTAACTAATCCTTCATTAGAAATTTAGCTGCTTCCTTTTCTTTTTCTATTTTAAAAATATTCTGTTGGGGGCTGGGGTTGTTACTCAGTGGTAGAGCGCTTGCCTAGCATGTGTGAGGCACTGGGTTCGATTCTCAGTACCTCATATAAATAAATAAAATAAAGGTCCATTGACAACTAAAAAATATTTTTTAAATATTCTGATGGATTTACAATTTTGTTTTGTTTTGTTTTGATTTGATTTTGGTATTAGGGATTGAACCTACAAGCACTTAACCACTGAGCTGCATTCCCAGTCCTTTTTATTTTGAAACAGGGTCTTGCTAATTTGCTTAGGGCCTTCCTAAATTGCTGGCCTCAAACATTCAATCCTTCTGCCTCAGCCTCCTGAATCACTGGGAATACAGGCATGTGCTACCATGCTAAGCTCAGATAAAATTTTGAGTAGATTTAGCTGGGCGTTGTGTAATCCCAGAGACTCTGGAGTCTGGGGCAGGAGGATCACAGCCTTAGCAACCTGATGAGATCCTAAGCAATTTAAGGAGATCCCATCCCAAAATAAAAAAAAATAAAAAGGGCTAGAGATGTAGCTCAGTGGTAAAGCAACCCTGGGTTCAGTACCATAAATAGATAAGTTAAAACTACAATGATGATCTTTGTACACATTTCTTTTTTTTCTAACTTGAATTAAGTATTATTATTATTATTATTATTATTATTATTAGGTGCAATGCTTGGATCTAACCCAGGATCTCTCATAGGCTATGTGAGTGCTCAACCACTGAGCTATATCCCTAGCCCCCAAGTCATGGATCTATTGTGTTTTGTATTATTGTTGTTGTTGTTGTTGTTATTATTGGGATTGAACCCAGGGCATTTAATAATTGAGCCATATCCCCAGCCCTTTTTATTTTTTATTTTGAGACAGGGTCTCACTAAGTTGCTGAGGCTGGCTTTGAACTTGTGATTCCCTGTCTGAGCCTCCTGAGTCGCTGGGATTACAGGTGTACATCACTGCACCTGGCCAAGTCAAGGTTCTTGATAGAAATTAAGAGTGACCTCTCTGTATTGCCTGTTAACAATGAACACTTGTATGATTGTTAATGGGAAAAACTATATGATAGGGCTGGGATTGTGGCTCAGTAGTAGAGTGCTTGTCTAGCATGTGCGAGGCCCTGGGTTGAATCCTCAGCACCACATAAAAATAAGTAAATAAAATAAAGGTATTGTGTTCACCTACTTCTAAAAAATAAAAAAAATATATAAAACTATATTATGGTCTCATTTAAACCTCCCACTAACCCATTTAAAAGATGAAACTGAGGCCCAGGTAGGTGAAGTGACCTGTCCAGGGCCATACATAAGACTAAAACACAGATCTGGCTGGTATTTAAGTCCCCACTCTTAACTTGCAGGCAACAGTCCTTTAAACTTAGGCTCTAACTTCTCATGAAGCATTAGCAACTAATGTAAATCAAAGGTCCCAGGAAGCCAGAGACCCTGGCCTTGAAGACTTTGGGGCCCACCTCTAGCATTCACAAGCACTTGCAGCCTCTAGTGATGCAATGTATTTTGCATACTCTGCCCCAGAAACATAAACCCACCAAATGGGAGGACTTGTGAGATCACATAGATGTTACTAGAATGGAAGCAGGAAGGTCAGTCCTCAGGATTGCACTCAGTGAAGCTGTGGTTCCTGATGAAACAATTGCACCTTTTCCAGTAAGGCAACTTCAGTCCCAGGAGACTCAACCATGCTAGGTCTGAGAAGAAGGCATTTGTGCAGCGAGGGGATGGAAACAAAATGTTTTTCTTCCCTATAGGTTTGCCCTCTAACTAAATCACCTATTAAGTTTTATAGGTAGTGCCACATCGCAAGAAGTTTGGAGTCAGATGCTAGGCTGCTCAGTATGGGACACTTTTGTAATTTGCAAAAGTTTCACAAATACCAGCTTTTTTTGGAAAATGGTTGGCCCAATTTTTTTTTTTTATTTTATTATTTCTATTATCATTTGTTCTAAAGATCTTGTTAGGGATTCAGGGGCAGAGAAAAAAAAAAGGTGTGTAAAGTAATTTTTAGGTTAGATTAACCTACTTTTAGATCTAAACTCTACCCCTTGATTATTCTACCTCTCCAACCCACAGTTGGTCTCTATAAAGTGCAGATGATGCTGCTACAAGAATTAAACATGATTTGTGTGTCCCAGAGTTTTAACACTGTGCTTGGCACAGAATTTGCACTTAGAAAAATGGAGTTACTGCCGGGCATGATGGCACATGCCTATAATCCCAGCAGCTCAGGAGGCTGAGGCAAGAGGATTATGAGTTCAAAGCCAGCCTCAGCAATTTAGCAAGGCCCTAAGCAACTCATCGAGACCCTGTCTCAAAAAAAAAAAAAAGGTGGGGGGCTGGGGATGTGGCTCAGTGGTTAAGCACCCATGGGTTCAATCCCTGGCACAAAAATAAATAAATAGATAAGGGAGTTACTCATAATATTATAGTTTCTACTGAATCTTTTCATGTGAAAGGTGATACAGTGACACATAGAAAAAAAAATTGAGGATAATATACCAAACTTTTGCAGTGGTTATTTGAAAGGATCCAAAGGTAAATAGAAACCTCTGATTTGCTCAGTTATTCCCATAATGTGTGAATTTCTTGTAACAGCGTGTATTACTTTTACAATCAGAAAAGATTAAAATGTTTTAAATTTTAGAAACAAAAAAATTTAAATATTTAGATTTATAAAAATTCTACATAATAATATTAAAAGAGGGGAATGGCTGTGGGCTCAGCAGTAGTGCACTTGCCTGGCATGTGTGAGGAACTGGGTTCGATTCTCAGCACTGCATATAAATAAATAAAATAAAGGTCTATCAACAACTAAAAAAAAATTTTAAATAATAATATTAAAAGAAACTTCGGGCAAGTGGGCATGCCTGTAATCCCAGCAACTCAGGAGGCTGAGGCAGGAGGATCACAAGTTCAAGGCTGGCCTCAAAAACTTAGTGAGATCTTGTCTCAAAATAAAAAATTAGAAGGACTGGGGATGTGGGCTGGCGTTGTGGCTCAGTGGTAGAGCGCTCGCCTAACACGTGTGAGGCCCTGGGTTTGATCCTCAGCACCACATAAAAATAAATAAATAAAATAAAGATATTGTGCCCAACTACAACTAAAAAAAAAAAAGAAGAAGAAGAAGAAGGACTGGGGATGTTGCAGAGTGCTCCTAGCTTCAGTCCCCAGAAACCACCCCTCCCCCACAAAAAATACTTTTGAGAGAAAATGTTGATATCCTGTCTACATGTTGTCATGTACTTGTGACCATGATGTCCAAACAATTTTGTCTGATAACTTGGACATAAGAGTTTTTCTGTTTGGCTACATAAGTCAGCATAATGGTCCTTGGGGAGCATGTTATCATGATTTTGATCGTGACTTCCATTTCTGGCCTGTTAGATTCCAACTTTTTGCTATTACAAATAATTTGTAGCTTATTTTGATATTCTTTTGTAATGGGACGGGGGGGTAATTGAATTGTGAGTTATATAACATGTAGAAAATTGTACTAGCTAATGTGGGACTCTAGAACATGTAGAAAATTAAACTAACTAATGTGGGACTCTAGAATAAGAACCTTAAGTCCTAAGAACCTGAGTTTCATCAGCACAGTGGTTCTCTTTTGTATGATCTTGTCTTTTTTGGCATATTCACAGTTCCATAGCTTGGAGCTAAGGCTATATAGACAGAGGATCCGCCAGAGTTCCTCTGCTTTGGGGTCTAAATAGGAAAAAAAGATGATTCTTACCCTTGGAAATAGGTGGCAGAGAGTATCGAGGAGTGTAAGGTTCTGTATAAAATAGGGCATGTAAGATGTGTCATTGGATATGTATAGGAGAGACATGCTCATTTTTCCTCCTCTTAATTGCTTTTCTTCCATATAGGGATTTCAAGGATTTGGATTTGGAGATGGTGGCTTCCAGATGTCTTTTGGAATTGGAGCATTTCCTTTTGGGATATTTGCCACAGCATTTAACATAAATGATGGGCGGCCTCCTCCAGGTAAGTTTTGTTTTTTTGAGAAATCAGGAAGATATTTTAGTAATCCTGCTTGAAAGCTCCTTGGAATTCAGCAATATATAAATTACAGATCATTGTCACTGTATGTATAACCAGCCTTTTCAAAGTGTCTTAAATTCTTTTTATGTTACTGGTACTCATGCCAGTATTCTGAGCACTTACCAGATGTTAGGCACATGCATTGTGCTTTCATTCCAAACAGAAGGAATCATCACAACCACCATGTAGAAATGTTTACAGATGACTCTGTTTTAGAGATCAGAAAATGTTCAATAATGTTTACCAAGACATATCCCATGTCTGTAAAATGAAAAATGATAATAAATGATACCCAACTGAGGAAAAGCCTAATCCTGTACATGTACCTCATTTTGACCATATTGGGATAGGAAGGAGTGAGGCAACGCACAAGGAGGTAGGGCCTCTGTTCTTTTGCATCTCTGTCCAGCTTCCCTGACAACACAACATGGGCTAGTCCAAGTCTTGGCCCTTTAGAAATCATGCTATATCTGCCACCTGCTGCTTCATTTCTCTTCCAGCTGCTTGACAGTGCCAGCTGAGCAAGTCAGTCAGGTGAATGCCCTGGACTCTTACCACACTCTGACACTGAAGCCAAGATCTGTATTATAGGGCCTACAGAGATGTTAAGCTCAATTGAGCTCTACTTGCACTCATTGTTTGCACTTGGCACAAAGGAGGGTACAGAAGTGACCAATGCATTGTTCTGGTAAAGAACTTACGCTCTAGAGATGGTAACCCATTCAGAAGTCATTCTAGTTCTTCCCTGTGCCACTCCAGTACTTGGCATATAGCAGGCAATCAATAAGAGTTAATAAGAGTTTGTGACTGCCTGCCTACATGAATTCATCAGAACACCTAACTGGGGAATGCAGTGTAGCATCAAGAGATAGTGGGTGTATTCTTCCTTACTTATCCACCTGGAAAGTTTCTCCTCTGTTCACATGTCATTTTCTCCAAGGAAGGAAACCCAAAAGGACAAAATGACAGAAAAGTGGATTTCTGGGGAGGCAGCAGGAATCTGCCTCATAGCTTGCTTCCTTCTAACCTGATCCAAGGCTCACCCTGGATTCTCCAGTTAGTTTCACAATCAGACTTTGGATCTTTTTATTTGCCCCTATGCAATCACAGTTTTTATCTGGGCACTGTGGTGCATGCCTGTAATTCCAGTGATCTTGGAGCCTGGGGCATGAGGATCACAAGTTTAAGGCTAGCCTGGGCAACTTAGTAAGACCCTATCTCAAAATGAAAAATAGAAAGGGCTGGCAATGTAACTCAGCAGTTAGAACACTTGCCTAGTATGTGTGAGACCCTGAGTTTAGTCCCTAGTAGTATACACACTAAAAATTAACTTTAAAAAAAGAAGAAGAAATGAAGATTGATACACTTGACTTCTCACCCAAATGGGTAGTGTGCACAACTGGAGCCTTCTAATAGCCTCTCTTTTCCCTCCTGTCTCTCCAGCTGTCCCTGGGACACCCCAGTATGTGGATGAGCAGTTCCTGTCACGCCTTTTCCTGTTTGTGGCCCTGGTGATCATGTTCTGGCTCCTGATTGCCTAATGCCAGGCTCCTGTCCATATCCACGGCAGGTCCTCTGGATTGGTGATGTGCCACCCCTACTCCTGGTGTTTGGCTTCCTGGCTAACCCTGACCTCTGTAAACAGTGGGGTCAGTAACACTTCAAGGAGTCTTGCTCTTTCATCAGAGCTGTGGAACTCAAGACCAGTTGGCGAGTACTCCCAAGTATCAGCACTGCTGTAAACACCTTTCTCTAATCTCAGGCCTTGGTGTTGAGTCCCCACTCATGGGTAGCACCATGAAATCCTGTTCCAGCCAACTCAGCAGGTCCTGACTCTGCACAGGGAAGAAGTGGGAAGAAAGAAACTATCAGAGTGCAATTTCACATAAGTTTTATACAAAAACAAAGGGATGAACCAAATGGTATTTATGAAAATTTTCTTTCATCTCTTTAAATTCCCTTGTTAAGTAGCTTCTGAAGCCAGTGGAACCTGGAAAGCTTCCAGATCCCAGTGCTGCTCTGTCCCCCTGCACCCACCCCCTGCACATCTTCTTCAGCAGAGATATAGAATCTACTGTCCCAGGAAGATCATAATCACAGCAGCTGAAACTAAAATCACTTCATGAATTCACCAGAGACCCAGAGATCCCAAGGTTCTAGGCCTTACTCTTTGGCCCCAGAGAGCAGCTTGAATGACCTCTTCGTTTCCTGGTATAGATTGGCCCTTATGAGACATGTCGCTTCACTCACAAATTTCCCATCAGCTTTCCCCTTAAAACTATGCATCTGCTTCTCTTTGCCAGAGGCAAACAGCCTATACTACTGCTGAAACTGGGACTGCATTAGAAATGACCTGGAGTTGGGCCTTTGGTGGGATTCAGAGCTTTGACACAGGAACAACTGGAACAAGTGGCCCTATCCCCTAGGCCACAGAAGCTCTGAGTACTTTTTCTTCCAGAACTTGCCCAGAGGAAACTGGAGGCTTTATCAAGTCAGCCTAGCTGCTTGTGGAAGACAACCACATCAGAAGCCAAGTTGTCCTTTATGAAGAGGCAGGTTGGGGAAAAACCCATCTGTGAACCTGATTTTGGTGTGGCTTGATAGAGTCCCTTGAAAACTCCTTGTATGTGTGCTAAAACCAAGGAAGCATGTGCCTCCTGATCAGGCAACCTCTAATGATTTGTAAAACCAGGTAGCAGGGCCCAGGGAATCTCAGCACAGTAGCGAAATGTGATGATCTTTCCTGTATAATCCAGGGGAAATGATTCTTCCTAAGTTCTTGTTATTTTTTTGATTTCATAAACTTATTCATCTGAATCTGATAGTAGGAGTGTGGTGCTAGGCAGGTAGGGCAGTTTACCTGGTGGGATAATTCTTGTTCTTCCAGCCAGGCTTCATCTAATTTTCTAGAGACATTGATGGTGAAAGGATATGGACTTCTGCTGGGGCCTCTGGCTCACTTTGCTAGTCCACACTTTCCTGGCTCACCACTAGCAATAGTAGAAAAGCCCCACCTGGTGCTTTTTTTAGATATGGCTCTGCATAATTTAAGGAAACCAAGACCTTGAAGACGATAAGGGAAGCCATCCTCCCTTCTGCATGGTCCCCGACCCTTTCTCCTTTGCACCTGCCAATGCCAGAGTTCAGTGTTTAAACAGATAAAATATAAAGTATTGAGTGATTCGTTTGCTGAATCCACTTGGTAGGAATAAGCCACCAGATTTACAATGTGCCTGATGGATTTTAAACATTCTTGGGCACCCCCTCAAGAATACTTCTTTAAATCACCTTCTGGAGATCCCCAGTCTCAAAGGCCCCTAGAGTATCTGCTCTAGAGGCAATTGATGGCATCTCTCAGTGCAGTGGCCCCAACTAGTGGAGAGAGAGAGAATTTCAGTCAGACAAACAGAAATGGGTTTCCAGAAGAAAGAAAGTTGTGGGTAGGATGACAACTCATTTGGATTCTTTAATGAATTGGAGTGAGCCCGGGAAAACTCCACCAGCAAAGATATTCCAGGAACCTATTGGCAAAGGCAGGTTGGCCATGTGCCCTTTGTAAACTTAATAGGTCCCACTCACCCTCTTCAAGGCTCTGGGGCAGAAAAGCCAACTTGGGACTGTTAGTCCAGCCTAACAGGACCCATTTCCACCATCTCTCTATAGGCTTACCACTTATCCCTCTGCCAAGGCAGCTTTCTTTTGTATATGTTTTCTGTGCCCCTCAGCCTCCACACTCCTTTCACCTTCGTGGATTAAAACCCAGTCCTAACCACAATCAGAAAATGGCAATATGTACAGTGGCACACCTTGACCAGTCACTAATTTTCACTGTTGTGAAAGTGATTTGATTTAGAATTAAACAAATGATTTTATATAACTGTGAGTTTGAACTTCATGTCTGTGTCATGGGAGGTGAATGGGTGGGGAGTGGTCACACTGGTCTGGCCTCTTGGGAAGCACCTATATAGCCATGATAATGTTCTTGGTAACTAAGGATAAAAGTCTTCAAACAACTGTCAATAATTAGAGATGAGAAGTATGGGCTGGAGGCCTGGCTTCATGTACAGCCCTGCCCAAGGTACAACCTGTCTGACAGGCAGCCCCAGTCCTAACAAGTGTGTTGAATTTCTGAGTTTGCAGGCAACAAACTGCCATGAGGGACCTTGACTTGAAGCCTATCAGAACCTTTAGTATATTTGCTGGTTTTTCAGTGTCAGCTCTACATTTCAGTGTCAGGACAGGTGGGCCTTCAGTCAAGTCCTCTCCCTTTAGCAGGGGGTATGCCCCTCCCTGAGGATCCTCAGTAACAGAGTGTTGTGTGAGGGAGAAAATGTTGAGGTTACAAGTCTGGTGTAGGCTCTCCAATACACCAAAGCTACAAGTAGTCATTCAGAAAACAGCTCATTTCTTCCTCTTAGACATTAATCTAATAGTTACCTAGTTGAACAGTGTCAACATACAGTAGGGGCCAGGCATGGTGGCACATCCTTGTAATTCCAGCAACTTGGGCAGCTGAGGCAGGAGGATCACAAGTTTGAGGCCAGCCTCAGCAATTTAGTGAGATCCTGCATCAAAATAAAAAGGGCTGGTGATGTAGCTCTCTAGTAGAGCACCCCCAGGTTCAAGTTCAGTAGTGTAAAAATAAATAAGCAATAAATAAAATAAAAGATACACTGTATAGAAAAAGAAGGGAGACAACAACAACTTATGGAGCTAATTTGGATCTTCAGATCACCTTTAACTAAATATATTTAAAAGTTATAAGAAAACTAGAGGAATTTGAGCAATGATTGGATGCATGAGATCTGTTAAGGGTTGATGATGATGATGATGATGATGGTGATGATTTTGGGTACCAGGGATTGAACTCAGGGGCACTTGACCATCGAGCCACATCCCCAGCCCTATTTTGTATTTTATTTAGAAACAGGGTTTCACTGAGTTGTTTAACACCTCATGTTTGCTGAAGCTGGCTTTGAACTCACAATTCTTCTGCCTCAGCCTCCCAAGCCACTGTGATTACAGACGTGTACCACCCTGCCTGGCAGGATGATTAATTTAAAATTTTTTTTCACAATACCTTTATTCAATTTATTTATTTTTATGTGGTACTGAGGATTGAACCCAGGACCTCACATAGGCTGGGCAAGCACTCTACCACTGAGTTACAGCCCCAGCCCAAGGGATGATTAATTTTTAAGGTGTGTAAATACATACCTTAGGGAACTTCAAGAATTCATAGGCCCAATAAAATAACAGAATTTTTGTTTTCAGTGGAAAACAACAAAACATACAAAAAGTAGTCTAGGACAATAAAGCTTCTGCATTCCAGTCACCCAATAACCATCAATTCAGGTGTAGTCCTGTTGCATGTATACCCTTTTGATACTGCTCCTCCCCCTACCTGAACTCTTGGAAGCAAATCTCAGTCATATATTATCCTTGCATGTTTCAATATGCATCTCAAAGATAAGGATTTTTTAAAACATCCCAAGGGCTGGGGTATAGCTCGGTGGTAAACCATTTGCCTATTGTGCATGAGACCTTGGGTTTGTTTCCTAGCACTAAAAAAAAAAAAAAAAACCTACCATTTATATACATTAAAAATTAATAATCCCAGGCTGGAGTTGTGGCTCGGGCAGTGTGCTCGCTTAGCATTCATGAGGCACTGGGTTCAATCCTCAGCAACACATAAAAATAAAGACATTGTGTCCACCTAAAACTAAAAATAAATATTTTTTTAAAAAATTAATAATCCCTTAACAGGTCTCATATACCCAATCACTGCTCAAATTTCCCTAGTTGTTTTGTAACTTTTTATATAGTTATTTGAAGGTGATTTGAGGATCCAAATCAGCTCCATAAATTGCTATTGTTTTTCTCACATTTCTTTTACAGTTTATTTTTTATTTATTATGTATTTATTTTTGCAGTACTAGGCTTGAACCCAGGGGTACTCTACCACTGAATTACATCCCCAGCCCTTCTTATTTTTGAAACAGGGTCTCACTAAGTTGCCAAGGCTATCCTCAAACATGGAATCCTCCTGCCACATCCTCCTGAGTCTGGGATTACCAACCTGTGCCACTGTTCCCAGTTACAGTTATCTTGTAAAGAAGCCAGTTAAATACAGAAAATTGGTTGTAATATTAAGTCCCTCAGGCTGAGAGACTTGGCTCAGACTCTGCACACCCCAGCAAAGAGATGGTGGGGGTGCTGCTTGAAATTGAGAGGCCGGGAGTATTCTCTATAGTAACAGAGCCATTTCCGTTCCTTTTGTACACTGTGAAATAACAAAGCATGAAAAGCAGAAAGAAGTGAATATCACCACCCATTCCACTGCCTGGCAGGAAGAGCCACCATGTATGGAAGAGTACCCATCTACATCTAAAGGCTTGACTAGATTCAAGTTTGATTTTTTTTTTTTTTTTAATAAGACTGTGTCTTCAGTAACAACATACACTTGTCATATCTTATCAGGAGCTATGTAATAAATCTTGTAGTTCCTCTTTAGGATATTAGCAGCCATTAATGATCATTGTATAGAACAGCATGTCCAATAGAACTTTCTGCATTGATGTAGATATTCTGTATTGGCACGACCCAGCACAGTAGCTCCTAGTTATATGTGGCTATCAAGCACATGAAATGTTACTAGTGGACTGAGGAACTGAATTTTTCCATCTCCATTTTCTATAGTTTGATCTATATTTTTTCACCCACCTTAATTTAAATAACCACATGTGGCTATCATACTGGAACAGTACAGATTTATATTAATCAACAGGGATTGCAAAATGATAAAATAACAATAATGTTTTTAGAGTTCAGAAACAAGACCACTTCTGGGCAGATAGGGATAATGAAATTAAAACATGGAGAACTGTTGTAGGAGTGGCAGGAAAACACAAGGACAAAAAGTGCTCATGAAAAAGTTATGGGGTGAAGGAAATAAGGAGACAAGGCTGCAGAATGAGAGGTGTAGTTAACTCACGAGGGCTTAGGTTGGTCTTCATTTTGTAGGGAAAGGGGTTGAATGTTTCCAAGCAGGGAACTGACAGGATCAGAAACATACTTTTGGAAGATTAATCAGTCCATCTTAGGAGGAATGACTCAGATATGGGAGAAACTAGAAACTTTAGTTTGAAGTAAGTGGAAGAAGCAACTGGAAAATCCAGCTGGGTGCCAGCAGACAGTGCCCTTTGGGTGGCAGAAGCTTGAAGTGGTTTTGTTTGCATGTTTGTTTGAGACAGGTTCTCACTATGTTGCCCAGGCTAGCCTCAAACTCCTGGGCTCAAATGATCCTTCTGCCTCAATCTCCTGAGGAGCTGCTACTACAGGTGCATGCCACTGCACCTGACTTAAAGTGGTTTTCAAGGTCTAGATCTTCAAGATTCTAGATTCAAAGAGTTGATTGTGAATCAGCCAGCAGGACTGGCCTTGGGCACTGACCAAGCAAAACTGCTAAACTGGACACATGACTTAGGTGCTACAAACCCAGTCAACTTTGTCCCTGTCCTGACGGTTTTCTATAATCAAGGTCCCCTAGAATTCACAAGTGAATTTTTTGTTCTGTTTTGTTTTTTGTTTTTGCAGTGCTGGGAATCAAACCCAGTGCCTGGTCCATATTGGGCACTCTACCACTGAATATCATATCACCAACTCCACAAGTGATTTTGGAGTGGTGTTTGGGTCCACATTGGAACGATACCTTAGTTATATCATTTCTACACATAGGTATACCCTTTGGTTTACAGTTTTGTTTTTGTTTGTTTGTTTATTCCAGCAGTGGGGACTGAACCTGGGGTGCTTTATCTTTACCACTGAACTACATCCTCAGCCCATTTTAGTTTTTATTTTGAGACAAGATCTCACTAAGTTGCCCAAGCTGGCCTCAAACTTGGCAATTCTTCTGCCTCATTTTCTTGGCTGGAATTATAGTCATGTGCCACAATGCCAGGCCCCTTCCTTTACATTTCAATTTGCATTTCTTGAGTTATCTGAACATCCTTTAAAGGAAATTGGGTGATTTGGCTATACCAACTACCCACTGATGAAGTTCATGAGGCATGGAGGTGTGGAAGAAGTGAAATGAGAGAGCAAATGGGGAGAAGAGGCAGACATGGGTGCCTCATGGGGCAGAGGGACAGGGAAGACACCCAGGGGGTCTTAGTTCTAAGACTGCTAGGGCCCTAATGCCTGGGAAAATACATTATAACCTCTTTTCATGTGTAGGGTGAATAAAATCCCTGCCTGCCTTTTTGGGTGAGTTGGCTTATCAGAAGAGTCCCGAGGATTCCTGTCACCTTAAATCAAGACACAATCTTGTGTTTATAATAGTCTGGCTTTCTCAGAAACCATAAAACTGACTGACAAAGTGGATTCATAGGAGTTAAGGAAAGTAAAGCACAGTCTTCCTCCCCCATCATGTTATGCAACCAGGACACTAGGAGTCACCTGCTATACCCAGAGAAGAAAAATATGACCTGCACCTGGTTTGGCCTATACAGACAGGGTAGGAAAAAAAGAATTGTGCTCAATTTTGTTTATGAGAGTTCTGGGGCCAGAGGCAGCTGGACTGAACTTTGTGGCCAAGGGTCTGGGTAAGGCACAGAATCCATTTCCCTGGTCTCTAACCCTACCCCTTTTATCATCATTTGGACATTTTTCCCATGACCTAAATTTGATTTAGGGAAATAACAGTTGCCAGTGACCCATCACAAGAGAATCAGATGAGAGGGACATCAGGGACCTATGTGGCCTGCCTGTCATCACATGGAGAACCCAAATCTCCCAAACCCAGTGAAGGAAGTGTCTGCTGTCCTCTTTGTGCAGTGCTCTCTCCTCCACAATGAAGATTCTAAACTAACAACCTTC